TCTCAGTGATAAAAAGGGCTTGCGACTGAAAAAAAGTTTAAGAAACCTTAGTGTATATGACAAAACGGCTTACTTAAAAAACACACTACATATTTTGTTCTTTTTCCCAAACTTATTCAGCAGATAATTCAGTTTGCTTACCTGCAACTTCATCATTTAAATCCATCACCAGTGGAAAGTTATGGTCCATCAAAAATGCTGCTACCTGTACACATAGATCCATCAAACTCATTACGTATTTTCTCGAGACAACTACCTTACTTCAGTGAGTAGCAGGACACCCTCATGGTGGCTTTCCATATCTTTGTACGTTAGTTTTAAGAGGTTCCTTTCAAGAGATTATGATCATACCATGCAAGGAGGTTTGAAGGGAGTGAAACAAGTGTAAATCTAACATTGCAAGGTCAGGCAAGTAAGGTGGCTCTGGCAGTGCTTCCCATCCAAGCTCGAATAATTTTTTACATGTGATCAAACATGTGACGGAACATCTCTCTTTTACAGTTACCTCTCTTTTACACCTCTGGATATTTCTGAATGACAGATTCTTTCAAATTGTCCATTTTCTGACACTGCACGTGTGAACTGATTGTTTGGTTATTTGGTATGGACTAGACTGCTTTAAAATCCATCATGCTGATAATATTACCTTCTTGTCATGAACGTTTGCTTTTGATGCTTATGAATGTGCTTCTCGTCACTGCTAACTGCTTTCGAAAAGGATTGTTTTTCTTCAAGTTAAATGATATTTGTTTGTGTCGTTGAATAAAGTCTTTGAGTTCATGAGGAACTCGAATATTGTGCTTGTTTCTCTGTCTCAGCTTCTTCAAGTGCTTTCAAACACATAAATGATGGATTTTCTATGTTTCTGCTAATCCTTGCATTATGTATTATGGTTTTTACTGTGCCAATAATCAAGGAACATTGTTCAGATCAAAATCTTCAGCATAGAATTTTGTGAACCATTGTTGGCATTGATATTCCTGTATAGCATTGCCACCATAAATGTCATGCAGGTTTTCATAATCTTCGTACGCATTCTTCCTTTCATGGAAATGAAACAGTAAACTATTGTAAAAATACACTTTTGGGGACTTGCATTTTGTGACGTCAACCAAGTTACTTCATTTTTTAAGAATGGAGCTATAGCAACCAACTCTCAAATCACATAGCAATAATGTAGACATGAACAAATTTAGTGTGTTTCATAAAGGTGCGAGTGCCTTTTGTTGGAAAAATGTTTCATGGCTTTTACTAATAAAACTAAGGTAGTTGTATTATCCTAATCATGTGACGTTCTGTATCCATATGAAGAAAGGTTATTAAAATGACATGTTTAAATCTCTGCTTTGTATCGGGCTAATGGATCCAACGTGTAACTTTGAAATTTTGATGCCACAATATTTACTCCTTTCAACATAGAGGTAATCTGTTGCCTTGAAAATGATATCCAATCATAAGCAGTGATGCAAGGTTTTACAAGACGGTCTTGTGAAATTTTCTGTTAATAGTGCTTTAATTTCAACTCATTTTATTTTTACTTCTAGTTAGATCAAATTATTGAATTGCTAATTATAAATAATTATGGAATACATAAAATAAATGTGTTTTAAAAAGTGTAGTTCTAATTGTTAACCTGTTGCTTTTTTTATGAGATAATGTAAGGTCATAAGAATAAAGTGGCTCTTTACTGGGGATGCACTCCGAGAAAGAGTCTGCAACTTTGCTATAGGGTTGTGAGAATGGAAAATGTTTAAATATGAGAAAAATGTATTGCTATGTAAATAACATTAGAACTTTTACTATTATGGCAGCTTGTAGTCTGTATGGTGTAGTAGAAGATTATTATTAACATTTTTATGTAATAGTTTGCTCAAGCAGTAGAAATTTTGATGTATATATGCCACCCAATGTTATAGTGGTTAGGGAAGCCTTGCTGCAATACTGAAGGCCTTGGGTTCGAATTCTGGAGAAAGCATGGATGTAAAATTGTCTGTCTCTTCGTAGGAGGTAGCGGTGGCCACCTATTAGGTGCCTCCACAATAAAATGGCCATCACTTCTAGCCCTAGTAGTGGCTAATGCCACTATAGGCAAGTGCCCGCAGCTGGAAAAAATATATTTATATACATACACGTGGTGTCCAGGAAAGGAGTCTGATTTCAAAATTAAAAATCTGGAAAACAAAGATCAATATAAGAATACAAGAAACGATATGTTTATTATGAAAGCTGTAAGACTGTTATACAGAAGTATCGAAATAATTGTTACAAAAACTGCCAACAGATAAAATAGCAATTGGTAGTGCATTTAAATAGCACACCAAATAGCTATTACTTCTTCTGTTGAAACATGTAGGGAGATTAGCAGATAGCTCTCGAGTGCTTTACCATAATTAAATAAACCAAACCAAACTACTGCATTCTCCCAGATGTTTGAGCTATGGTAAGCAGTAGAGGCATTATTGGTCTTTTTCCCCTAATGTGAGAAACAATCACTAGTGAATGTTCATTTCAGTTTTGGAACAGCTGGCGTTGGTGGATCGACCAGGAACCGACTTTTTTATGCAAGATGAAGTCCAACCGCAGCGTAACAAACAGATGTTTTGCTTTCTTGATGAATACTTTGAAAACAGTAATTGCATTGGATTATTCCAAATTTACTGGTGTAGGCATCAATTGGCCTCCATATTTACCAGTTCGGTTTTCTTGTGACTATTTTTTGTGGAGCATATTGAAAGACACTGTTTACTGGGATCATTCCACCAATCTGGAGCTTGAATCCTTGATCTGTTTATCCATATCCCTTAAGACAGTGTGGGATGTGATAGAACATTTTATTGCTCATTTGCGTCACCTCTGTACTGCAAGTGGTGGACATTTTTGAAAGATTGTGATATGATTTTCAAAGATTGCTTGCAGAGGATGAGTTTATTTATGCATGTTGACACAAGCTGTATAGAATACAGTGCATTCTATTGGCAGCTTTTTGTAACTATTATTTCAAAACTTTTATGTAAGTCTTGCAGTTTTCACATAAATATACCGCTTGGTGTATTCTTCTATTGATTTTTTTAAAAAAATATTTTTAATTTTGATATCGGGGATTCCTTTATTGGACTAGGTATGTGCATGCACACCTATGTATATGGTCATTTATTTATGTAGTCTTTAAAAATAATTACCCAGGATTTTTTAGAAACGTGGCATAAAATTACAGTTGTTGGGAAACTTACTAACAAATGCAGGTAAAGTATATTAAATGATCCACTTTCTTATAGAGATGTGTAGTGCACTTTTATAATACCGAAGAAAAGTGAAAGCTCTTAATATATTGGTTGATTGGCAATATATTTTTGTATACGTGGCCTTTGCTTTTTATGGACAGGATTTTGTAGCTAACCAACAGTAATACTTCTTCAAAGTGTTAATAAGTGCGTCAATTAAAAGTAAGTCTCGCAATGTATCTATTAAAATTAGGGTAAGATTTCTGTATTAGTCACAAACATATGGGGAAATATGTTGTAACTCAAAGGTAAAGCCCCCCTTGAATATAAGACTATTCCTAAATTTTTGGAAATAAGAATATATGTGAGTGTTAATTTTTGTCAGGCAGTAATTGTAAAAATCTAAATCTTTTTCCTTTTATTCTGAGTTTCCTTAAAATAGAGTGCAGTTAGTTATGAGCCAAGGCTATTGTTGGGGATAAGTAGTTGCTGTTTTTTTTTCCCCAGGAATATTAGTGACCAGTGTATTAAATCCAAGCCTAAATTAACTTCACTCAGTTAAACATAGCTATTAGTATTTGTGGTAGTTATGCAACTCGTATATGTAGGAATTAACCTCTGTGGTTTATTTAAATTTTAAACTGTGTAATTATTTTTTACAGTGTGATAATTACTCTTTCCTTTCATTCTGAAATATCATTTATCAAAATACACATTCATAAAACTGTATCAAGTACTTAAACAAAAACATAGCAAATAGCTTTCATTCTTAATGAATCATTTGTGTACATTTTTCACCAGCAGTCAAGACATTTCGTTGTGTATTTAGATTCTGGAAGTGTCCTAAAGATCTAAAATTCATCATTTTGTAGCTTCCCTTATTCAAGATTCATTGTTCATTCATTATCCAGTTGTAGTATCCCAGTAGTTTTTTTGTTGAATCCTTAGCCCTGCTAATACAGCAAGAAATGAACTGCACATGTTGCAGCAAGAACTATTCTGGCCTTTCTTACCTGTAGTGTTCCTGGTCATGGATCATCACTAGAATCTTCAGGTCTAGGTTAAACTTTATTGTATCAAACCTCTCATCACTACAGTTTTGGAAACCATTCGTCTGACTGGCTGATGTCCTATTATGTTAGCTTTATAATGGGCATTCACATATTGTCATCTACTTTTTTGTGAGAATGCTTTACTGGGAGTAAAATGTAGACTTTGGCTGATAGTTAAAGACATCCCTTCTGACTGTACTAATTTTAAGGATTTATAGTTGAAATTTTTTAATATATGAGTTTCATATCACTGACTTGCTGGGAGAGAATCCTCACTCAGCTTTTTTTTCATTTTTTTAATTTTGCTAGTTTCCATTTACTTTTCTAATCATCCTTTGTGGATTTCTAATGGGTCAGATGCTTTTATGTTTTTAACTATAGGCTCTGTAAACCTAGTGTAACATTTTGACTTGTGTTATAAAAATCAAATTATCTTCATTTTGTATTCTCTTTGTAAGTTCGTTAAAGTGTATGCATAACTTTGTGAGTGTGTGTATAATGCATGTATCCATGTGTGGTGTCTGTAATGTTATCACCTTGTGTTTGGTGTATCATATCCTAAAAAAGGTCTTGTGCCGTTAAACTAAAATTAACAAGCCAAACAACCAACTTCTATTTTCCATGATTATATCTTATGTTTCTTTATACTAACTGCTGAAGTTTTTAATACTATAAATTTTGACCTTTTAATAATCATCAGATTATAGAAACCTTTTCCCTATTTTAGGTACAGGTGGAAGAAAAATGGTTTGGATTTTGAATATGTTGCATATGATAAAAGAATAAGCCAACAGCCTAGGAGAGGAACTTTAGTTTTTACAAAGCCAGAAGATATAGATGAAGGTTTATATCAATGTTTTGCCACTAATAGATATGGGACATCTGTCTCGAATGCGGTTTTCTTACGAAAGTCAGGTAGGTGTGTTTAAAATATTTTACCTTCTGCCTTAATGCACATGTATGCTTTAATATGAACTTCTGTGTGCTCTTTGTGTCCTTGAATCTCCCTCCCCCTGTATTTATGTTAAACTGAAAATTTTCCTTAAACAAATGATTTTGCTATGCATTAACAGTTACAGCATAATTAATTTTATTTATGAATAGCTTTAATTTTATTGAAAATGAGAAAGGAGTAAATGTTAAATCTGTCAATACTTTCTAAAGTAATATATATATATATATATATATATGTAAGATAAAAATATATGAATCAAAATTATAGATTAAACTATAAACATTAATTCTTCCTCTCTATTCTAAAATCGTAATAACTTCTTTGCATTGCGTCATTTCTAGATCACTCTATGATCGGCGCAACTCTGATGACGTAATAATTAAGAACTGAAACTGTCCTTGTAAACCAAAACTTTTCTCTTCGCGTGCCTCCATCTTGCATAACTACGCACTTCAGCTTTTGCTCTCTACTGTGCTAAGATGTAATTTCGCTGGCTTGCTTTCTATCTTAACAATATCAAAAATGTAAATCTTCTGTGGAAAGGCACGACTAGAGTGCCAAGTGATTGTGGCCACAAATATCACTTGGAAATAAAAATGGAATTAAAACTGCCTCGACTGCCAAGTTCTTTAAATACTATGCAATCAAAATTCTTCAATATGGATCTAAGCACGCATCGACACTGCTCCGGCTTTTCCATGTGCTTTTATTATTATTATTATATGTATATACAGTTGATGGACAAAAATATGGAAACACCTTGTGAAATGCATGTTTGAAAAGAAAGATTGATTTTAATGAAATATGTAGGTGGCGCTGGCGTTTTTACTACTGACGCCACCTACACAACTTCGTAAATGTGCTAAACAGTTCAGTTGTCGGAGTACTGTTATGTGCGGTTATCATTGCATTATGTCAGAGTTAACAGACTTCGAACGTGGGCAAATTGTTGGAGCACGTATGGTAGGTGCTTCCGTAAGCAAGGTAGCCGAGGTGTTTAGTGTTTCAAGAGGTACTGTATCAAAGATTTATTCCGCATATTTGAAAAGCGGAAAAACATCATCTGCTAAATCACACCGCGGACGAAAGTGTGTCCTGAGTGATCGTGACAGACGATCATTAAGGGCAATTGTGACGAAAAATAAGAAGACCACAGCTGCAAAAGTTACTGCTGAAATGAATGTTGTGTTACCGAACCCTGTGAGTACCAAAACAATTAGAAGGGAGCTTCATAAACAGGGAATTGCTGGCCGTGCTGCAATTGATAAGCCACTCATCAGTGATGCTAATGCCCGTAACAGGAAAAGGTGGTGTTTAAGTCATAAAGCCTGGACTATAGAGCAGTGGAAGCGAGTAATATGGTCCGCCGAGTCTTCTTTCACATTGTTTCCCACTTCTGGCCGAGTTTACGTCTGGAGAACGCCATCTCAAGCCTGTAAAACAGACTGCTTGTTGCCAAGAGTGAAACAGGGCGGTGGTTCTGTTATGGCTTGGGCAGCTATATCGTGGTTCTCTGCTAGCCCCATGATAACTGTGTCAGGGCACATGACTGCCAAGACTTATGTGAACATTTTGGCCAATCAAGTTCATGCCATGGTACAAACTTTGTTTCCCGATGGTGATGGTGTCTTCCAAGACGACAAATCCCCTGTTCACACAGCTCACATTGTCCAGGACTGGACGAGGATGAGTTGTCCCATCTCCCCTGGCCACCACAGTCACCAGACCTGAATATTATCGAACCTTTGTCTACATTGGAACGAAAAGTGCGTTCTCGTTATCCACCGCCAACATCGTTATCTGAACTTGCCACCATTTTGCAGGAAGAATGGTATAATATTCCCTTGGCAAACATACAGGAACTGTATTTATCCATTCCGAGAAGACTGCAAGCTGTTTTGGATGCCAATGGGTTTCCTACACCATATTAAGCAAAGAAACATGTTTTTTTAAAGGTGTTTCCATATTTTTGTCCAACCCCTGTATATACGAGGGCTATCCAGAAAGTAGATTACGTTTTGGAATAAAAAAATAAACAAAGTATAGGAAACAAATTTTATTATATACAGATGAAAGCCACACTCAAATACTACTTTTCTACATAGTCACCATACAAATTAAGGCATTTATCGTAGCGATGTACGAGCTTGGAAATTCCTTCGTCGAAAAATTCGGCCGCCTGCGCCTTCAACCACTTGGTTACCTCTTCTTGCCTTCCATCTTGCACAAAACTTGTGGTAACCAAGCTTTTCGCTGATGATTTCGTGCAACAAACTTCGCGAAATTTGTGGGGGAAAACTCAAAGAAAGTTCCGTTATTGTGAAATTTCGATTTTCACGGACTTTAGCATCGACTTTTTCGAGAAGTTCGGCGGCGGTCACTATGCTGGGTCTCCCACTTCGATCTTCGTCGTGAACATTGGTTCGGCCATTTTGAAATCTTATGACCCACTGACGCACTCCACCTTCAGTGATAATGTTGTCCCCATACACTTCACGAAGCTGCCGATAGATTTCTATCGGTTTACAGTTTTTTTGCAGTCAGAAACCTTATTACTGAGCGCACCTCGCAGCTCGCGGGATTTTTCAATTAACGCAGACATTTCAAACCGTCACAGTATCTGAACGGAGCACAGCACGAACCTCTCACTAGCACGGCTAGATGCAGACTGAGCTGCGCAACGCTCTGACCCCAAGATGGCCGCGCTAGCCCCGCCCCTAGCGGACACAGACGGAAACGTAATCCACTTCCTGGATGGCCCTCGTATATATATATATATATATAATTTATATATATTTACCTTTTTGAAATATAGAATTAAGCTCGTTTTTGGATGTTGATGCAAAAGAAAAAGTGGTTAGTGAAGGTGATCCATTATCTCTAAACTGTAATCCTCCTACTGGTTATCCAAGGCCAACAATTTTTTGGATGATTCAGTCTTACACAGGATCTTTGAGGACTATTAACAGGTAAAGGTTTTTTTATGGACTCTTTTGCTTTGGTTAATCAATTATGTCCATTTCTCTTAGGAAGCTTTTAAGTATTTTTATATTATGGTAGATGTTATTCTTCTGAATACTCATGATTATGTTTTTAACTGTACATTGGCTTTTGAAAGTTGAGCATGTAACGGTAAAATCAACAAAAATTGAAAAGTGAAGGTTTGATTAATACTAAGTTGTACATGAAAATAGGAAATGTATTTATACATGAAAGAAAACAAGCATTATATATAAAGAAGAAAACAATTTAATAAATTTTTTGTAAATTATATGATGACGTAACATTTGAAACATTAAAAAAATTGATATCTAAAGCTGGAAACTAAAACTTTACATTAATAAGGTACTAAGTTGTACATGAAAATAGGAAATGTATTTGTACATGAAAGAAAACAAGCATTATATATGAAGAAGAAAACAATTTAATAAATTGTTTGTAAATTATATGATGTCATAACATTTGAAACATTAAAAAATTGATATTTAAAGCAGGAAACAAAAACTTACATTAATAAGGTATATGACCACCCTGGGTCTTCTCACTTTACAACAATTGTCCATACTTTCAGTGGAGTGGGCAGCCTTAAAGATGCTAGCAATGGCCATTCCTCCATTAGGGCTATTTCCGATTGTAGAAAGGCTGGATAAGGTAAACATGCAGAGGTAATGCACCTGAGGGTGTCGTAAAATATTCAATGGAATTGAAGTCAAGGAAATAAGTCGGAATCTGGAGTCATCAGGACTTCTGCAGTTTTGGAATTTTCCGAATTATAGAGCATCAATTTAAATCTAATAAGATAACATGTTGAAGTTATAGAATTCTATAAGTCATCTCTGACTTGTATTGAAGGACTTAAATTTTTATTATTCTGACTGCAGTTTATTGAACTTAGTCGTCTGTTGCTAGGAATTTCGAAACTGTTCATTTGTAGAATGACGGTGTGTTACATTGCCAGGTAAATATCATTAATGGTGGCATGGGACTGATGTATATATGAGCATGGATATCGCATTAGTATTTTCAAATTGGTTTTGTTAAAGGCAGTAGTTACTTCTTAATGCTGTAGGAAGCTGCCTTATAAAATATAGGCCTCTTAGTATGTATGAAGAGGTCCTTCAGTGAGCATGATAATGCAATGTTTACTCTGATATCTGATCTGTCATATCATACATGCAGTGTGAAAGGGAAAACATATTTTAGCATGATAGTGTGCTGCCCAATTCAAACATGGGATGAGAAATTGTCATCATAGTTAAGCTTTCCATTGGTCCATATTGTATCTAAATTAAAGCTTTGTTAAATCTGTCAAATAATCTTGAGCAGAGCATTAATTCCATTAAAATAAATTCTTCATCTAAGTTATGTTATAGATAGTGTTGCTATTCCTGCCATAAATCTGTAAGAATCTGAAGAAGTTGTTGCTTCAGCATGTATAGTTGATTGTTCACACAAGACATAGCCGATACAGTATAGGTCATTTGGTGTGTCACATACATTGCGATAACATTCACATATTATTTAAGAATTCGACTGTAAATAAAGAGCAATTTGTTTTCTAACATAGTAGGATTTATTAAAAATGAGGAAAAACGTTTGTGATTGATACCGTCTTTAAAGTGCATTGCTGGATGTGAAGGATTAAATGTCTCTGTTTCCGTACGGAACCGATTTATCAGAAATTATATTAAAGGCAAAAGATTAACCTTCCAGCACGCGCGTCATGTACAAAATTTATGACAAATTCGGTTTTTAATGCACATTTTTCGCATATCATAGCTGAGATGTCAAAGTCATTTCTGTTCCTCCTTTCAACTCTTCCCCACATCATAGTATTTTCCAACAGGATGTCATATGCCTTTTTTTTTCGTACCGGGCTTTTGTGCTATGTGGCAGCTTATTTGTAAAAGTTACGACATGCGGGTGGTCGGGGGTGAAAATTCGGAAAGTATTTTTTTTCTCAAATAGTTTTCAATTTTGTGTTATTAATTGACATGCATTATTTTAATTTGTATAAATTCAACTCTATAGTTTTTATATTAGCTTTCATGGCCAAAAAAAAGTATGTAGAACCAGCTGATTTTGCTCGCATTCTTCAAGAATTATCTGATGAAGAAAAAGAAGACAAGGAAATCTTTGGATGTGAGAACAATAACGATATGAGTGAGAAAAACATAGAGAAATAATATCAGCAGTGAATCTGAACAATAAATTTCGGAGGATGATGATAATGATATAGATAAAATAATGATGATGATATGATCTATGTTAGTAAGGATAAATGTTCCAAGTGATGAAAACAGAAGTATACAAACTGCTCAAAGTCGAATAAGTTGAATATTGTGAAAGTATTACCTGGCCTAAAATACCATACCAAGAATATAGAGGGTGAAATAGGATCGTGTTTGAAAATAATTGATATAAATATGATTGATGAAATTTTGGAATGTACAAATAATATATAAGTTTGCTAAAAGGACTAGCTAGTAAAAGGACTATAAGTTTGCTCTTATTCAAGAGACAGAGACTGAATTTTTACTTCAAGAGTGGAAATGATGGCATACTTTGGATTGTTGTATATAATAGTCAACAACACAGGACGATGATAAATCAACAATACAGGACAGATGAATAATAAAACTAGTTTGGATTTTAAAATATAGTTATTTAAATTTTCTAAAATGAAATAAATCATTGCCCTTCTACCTGACTAATATCGGAATTTAAAAATACAGGATGTGATTCAAAAGTTTAAGACTTACCTCAGAACTAGAAATTTATTGGTACAGCAGACTAAAAATTTTCAAAATATGATACTTCAGCATCATCACAGTGTTGCCAACGTGTCTGCCACTGTTTGTAGCCCTTCTGGGAGGCCTCGGGCGTCATGCTGTCGAGGGCTGTCGGTGAAGCCTGCTGGATGGCATTGATGGAGTCGAATCGCTTCCTTTTCAGGCCTGTCTTGATTCGGGGGAAGAGGAAAAAGTCACTTGGAGCCAAGTAGGGGCTGAAGGGTGGCTGCAGCAGTGTTGTCACTTTGAACTTGACCAAAACTTCGGCACGTTGTCATGGTGAATCCAATCGCCCTTGATCTCTGGGCGGACTCGATCCCTCAAGCAGCAGAGCACTCCAGCATAAAAGTCACTTGTGACACTCTGTCCACGAGCAACAAACTTCTTGTGAATCACTCCTTTACCATAAAAAAAAATCAGCATGTTCTTCACATGCGAGTTGCTCATGCGAGCTTTCTTGGTATTCGGCGAGGAAGCAGTGTGCCATTCTGAGCTTTGACACTTCGACTCGGGATCATACTCGTAGACCCAGGTCTCATCACCAGTAACCACTCTCTCCAGAAGGTTTGGATCAACATTAACCGTTGGTGCATTTCCTGGCAAACAGTCATGCATACCTGCCAACTTTTACGAAAATGCGTTTGTCTTTACAATTTTATGATCGTAATCCATTTTTTACGATTTTTTTCCTTTTTCAAGTGTTTTTAGTGATTTTTGTCGAAATTTTAGAATATTTCGTCAATTGCATCGTGTTTTACCGCCAACTACCGACTACTTCGAATCCAGTAACCTCCCAACTCGCCGCTTAACCAGCCAATCCAATACGCTGAACTTGTTTCTCCCACTCTTTCTTTGTGGGCGCTAGATTATTTTTTTCGCGTTCACTTCAGCAGCAAGGGAATTACTCAGCGAGCGTGGATTGTCGCATTCTTTTTTTTTTTGTTTGCACGTGCTACGAATTTTCTTAATACGTCGTTGCTAAAATGAGTTAAAAAAAACCGTATTCTCAATATTTTCGGCCTGCCTACAAAGCCGAATTTCCAACAATTAAAGAATCCTTCAAAGGAAATAAATATGTATTTTGCAATGTGTGCGTGTGGGACTTCATAATAAGTCACGGTGGAAGAAGCGACATTGGGAAGCATGTTTAAGTCTAAAAAGCATGAAGTTAATGCTTCGGCTTCGACAACGTCAAAAAAAGTGGATGATTTTTTTTCAAATTCGGCTACAAATTGGAAATCTAACCAGGGAACTCGTAAATTCTTTGAAAGATCATGAGAAAAAAGAATTTTTTCAATGTGTTAGAAAGTACTCAACCTGTGATTACATTGTAAGGAAGTTTCCTTTGCAAAATGAAGTTCTTTTAAATGCTGAAGTGGCAAATTTGAAACAAATTGAAAATTCATCTTTTGAAAAGATTCGTTTTTTTTTTATTGATAAATTTCCATTTTTGTTAACAATTAAAGAAAATGAATGCCATAATGATGCTTTAGATGAACTACAGAGCCAATTTTCTGCTGCACAGTTTGAAGACTTTGCCAGTTCTGGAGAAGATAGACTTGATGTCCTTGTTGGTACCTTAAAAAGAATAAAAAGATCTGATGGAACACCAAAATATGATAGACTAGCAAGAGTTTTATGTGCTGTTCTCGTAATTCCACATAGTAATGCTGAGTACGAGAGAGTCTTCAGTGTTGTGAAGAAAAACAAAACTATGTTTCTTTCTTCAATTTCACCAAAAACTCTAGAAAACATTTTAATTGCTAAATGTTGTGAGGAAACTAACTGTTATGACAGGAAATTTTCCAAAGAATTTTTGGCTAAAGCCAAAAAATGCACTCTAAATTCATTGCAATAATTTTTTTGTGTAACATTAAGTTCTTGTATTATGTTTCCTAATAAATTTTTTAGTTACTACTTAATTGAGATTTACTAATGTAAGTACAATTTTCTTTTTTCTATTTGTATAAATTGTTATTTTTTTAATATCAAAGCATGATATTAATTCTTTGTGTTCTTCTGAATTTGGGGGAGAAATCTTCTGAATTTTTATCTTTAGAATTTGGCAGGTATGAGTCATGAGCCGTTTCTTCTGATCCACCGACAAAACTTTTGGCACACACATTTCGCATCATCAAATTCTCTGTCACAATCCTCCACACCGTACTCTGAGTCGCAGTTCATCGGCAATTAATCTAGTACTAAGACGATGGTCATTGTTTAAAAGTTCCCGCACGCTATCCACATTTTGATCCGTTCGGCTTAATGATGGCATCCCAAAGCGGTCGTCATCTTCAACATTCCCGCAGCCATTTTTTAAACGTTTGTGCCACATGAAAACCATTGCACAGGACATGGCTTTTTTTAAAGGCCTCTTGAATCATACCAAGAGTCTCCATGGTGGTTTTGTTCAGTCACACACAAAACTTAATCGCATAACGTTGCTCCAAGTGCTGCTCCATTTTCGCCTCTCCCACTTTTCGACCGATGTCAGTAACACGCACTCATGCTGCAAGCGGTGCGCACTCTCCAGGATTCCGGAGGCAACTGCCGCAGCGTCAGTTCATTCCCTGAGACGCCCCCACTACTTCCTCCACCTGGCGGAACTGATCCGCGCACGCTTCCCTACTCAGAAATGAACCGGTCTTGAAACTTCTGACTCGCACCCTGTAATTTACTTTCATTTGAATGTGACATCATTTGTATTTTGCAATAAAGTTAATATTTAATTTATTAACAAATTTATTAATATTCACTCATTTCAGTAGTTTTTTTGTGCCAAAAACGGTAAAATAACAGATGTCGTATTTTTATTGCGAAGCATGTGTGCTGGAAGGTTAAGGTATGTATGTGGTACGCAAATGTAAAATATTCCAGCAAGTAAGGATACTGTAAAGTAGCATTAAGTTTACATAATGAAGAAGATAGGTAAATTACATTATCTGACGTATTTATTAAGTGTTTCCAAGTTATAACAATACATAAAGCATGTGCCCACTTATTTATTTTTTAATGAAAATAGAATTTTCAAAATAAAAATAGCTCTTGGAATTTAATCCTTCTTCCCCTTTCTGCTTTGTTCGTAATCCTGGTTTAGTTCATTTAATTATGGCAAAGCACTCAAGAGCTATCTGCCTAAGGGGATGGATGCCTTTATGAAGAACTTTCTGAGGGAAACAGGCTCGTATCTGCTTTACACATGGGGAAAACCACGATAATGCTCATCCAGCCAACCCATTTGCCAGGATTCAAACTCTGGACTGAACTATTAGTGTTTAGCAACTTACAGCTTAGCCGCTGGATTCATAATCCTGTATATGTAGACTTCAGTTAATGATTTTTTATGTAGTAATTATGTATATCTGAATATTTAAAGTAGATTCAATTATTTGGATATCATATGGCCATCTGTGTTGTTTTGCAAAAAGTGTGGAAAGTATTGAGATATATTTTCAGTATCAAAGATTTTTTCTTGGCTGTTTGTCCAAATTCCTTTCATAAATAAGCATGCACTTTGCAAATCTAAAGTGGAATGAACAGTAGTGAGTAGGATTAAAGAATGATTATGGTTAAAGATTAAGATATAATTAAAGAATTTTTCAGTGTTTTTTGTTTTAGGAAAAGTAGAGGTTTATTTGTTCAGGGGGAAAAATATGTTTACTGTATTTACGATATTAATAATTTATTAGGTAATTTTGTATTATTATTTATTATTATTATTTTTAAGAATTGTAGTTCTAATTCTGCTTAGCTTTCCATTTTGTAAGAAAAATACGAGTCCATACTTCATGAACATAGGACATCTTATTAGCTTTTTGGTTGTGTGTAGTAATATAAGCTGTTTTAATATCATGACTTATTACTTGATCCATCAATTAATGTATTTTCTGTGCATGCGTTGTGTTTTTAATTTTAAATTGTTTTTCTGTAATTTATTTATGTAAATGTGATGTGAATTTGTTTTAGCTCACGTATAACTGTTGACCCTGAAGGCGATCTTCATTTCTCTAATGTTACAGTTGAAGATGATCTTGATGAAGCTCTATATGCATGCAGTGCAACTTCAAAATCTAGAAATGAATATAAATTTGGCAACAAAATTATATTAAAAGTAGATCCTTCTGGAGGTAATTGTAAAATGGTATTTTATTCTTTTAGTATTCCTTTTTATGGGTTTTTTTCATTAACCTGCTATTTTTAAAATTAGGATCTGGTCAAGCAAGTCATCGTCCTGTGAAGCAGTATACATCACCTCCAAATATTGTTGCTTTAAGAGGGAAACAGCTCGAATTGAGTTGTATATTTGGTGGAACGTAAGTATCAAATCAGTTATAAAAGGAGAAATAATTACTTTCATATACACTGTGCACATGAAAGTTCACAACTGTTAATCATATATATATATATACATGAGGCACATCCAAAAAGTAAGTTTCTCCCTTTAAAGTAAATGTAATTAGCCATGATTGCGCATGCATAACAGATCTATGATGTATCAATCATATGCCAGCTGGACAGGTCCCGCCTCGTGCCAGTAACGTAGCAGCAGTGGTCCGAAATGGAAGCTCTTATTCCTTCTCCCGCCGCCTGCGAGGTTTGGTCGGTGATAAAGTTCTTGAATGCACAAAGCATTGCACCAATTTAAATTCATCATCAGGTCTATGGGCCAAACATCATGAGTGCAGATGGTGCGTCGCTGGTGTAGGCAGTATTCAGAAGGTAGTCAAAAGTGTCCATGATGAAGAGTGCAGCGGGCGACCGTCCCTCATCAATGATGATCTTGTTGGGCTTGTGTAGCAGCACATGATGGAGAACCGTCACTTCACGATTACAGAGCTGAGCAGCCATTTTCCGCAGCTGTTGCGATCCTTGTTGCATGAGATTGTCACTAAGCATCTGCTGTTCAAAAAATTCTGTGCCAGGTGGGTGCCAAAAATCTGACACCCAAACACAAAATTGGAACACTTAGGAGCAGCACTGACATTTCTGCAATGGTATCACAATGATGGCGACGAGCTCCTCGACAGGATCATCATGGGCAATGAGATTTGGATTTCTCACTTCAGCGTGGAAACCAAGCAGCAGTCAATGCGTTGGCGGCACAGTGGGTCTCCGGTCGGGACAAAATTGAAACAGAAGCTGTCGGTACAGAAAGGGATATGCATGGTGTTCTGGGACAGGAAGGGCATTCTGTTCATTGAGTTCCTTCCACGTGGTGAAACTGTAAACACTAACCGTTACTGTGAATCACTGTGGAAATTGCGACATGCCATTCAAAACAAAAGGTGTGGAATGCTTATTGCGGGTGTTGTGCTCCTCCATGGCAATGCTTGTCCACATACGGCTTGACACACAGCACCTGTTTTGTTGGAATTTGGCTGGGAGTTGTTTGATCATCCACCCTACAGTCCTAATCTTGCTCCCAGCGATTTTCATATTTTCTTGTACCTTAAGGAATTCCTGTCCTCTGGTGAGCATTTTGGCAACAACGAAGAGTTGGTTTCATTCACAGAGTTCTACGACAGAGGGATACAAAAGTTGATCCCACTATATGACATGTGTCTCAATTCTGGTGGTGTCTATGTTGAAAAATAGCTAAAACATTGCTGTACTTGTTGCGAATAAATATGTGCCTGAAAGTGTGAGTTCTTTTTTTTTAAAAAATAGGGATACAGTAGACTCCCGATTATCCGCACCTGCCGCACAAAGTTTTTTTTTTTTTTTTTTTTTTTTTTACAAGCGTAAAGGAAAGAAAATAAAAATGTTCACAAAACTGAGCAAAACGTTAAATTTGCTAACATCGTGCTTATTTATGGCAAAAATATCCCAGGCCTTCTCGGAGCCTTCCCCTCGGCCCCTATGATGAGTGATTTCTCACTCATCCTTGCAGTGTCCGCTCCACCGCCCTTTCTCGTCTTAATCTTACTTACGCGTCCACTTTCTCCCACTAGCCATTGTTAGTTTAAGCCTGATTTAGTTTGCAAACTGGTTGGAGTTAATTTCTTATCTTTTATTGTGTTCAGTGCTTGTGCTTTTAGGTTTTGTGTTTTTCGTTACCGATTTAAAATGTTAGGGAAACAAAAGGTTGTGTTGACGATTGCGCAAAAACTAGAATTAATTTCCAAAGTAGCAAACAGAGCTACAAGGCAGCAGAGGGAACTGGATTACGGAATCGCGGAAGCAACAGTGCATGACATTCTAAAGCAAAAAGACAAACTGGTAAACTTTGCATCAATGTAGGACAGTGCTTCCGCAATGAGAACACGAAGAACTATGAAGGGCTCTACCTTTGATGAGCTAGACACGACATTGACAGAGTGGTTAGCTCAAGTTTGAAAAGAGGGTACTCCTGTAAATGGTCCTATCATTGCAGTGAAGGCAAAAACCTTTTTTGAGTTGTTAGGCCTGAAAGGAAATTTTGATGTGTCTTCTAGCTGATTGACTCGTTTTAAGCAGCGACATGGAATTTGAGAAATTGGACTTAATGGGGAGAAACTTAGTGGTGACCAACAATTTGCCGACGATTTCCGCCATGAATTTGAAGAATTTGTTTTAAAAGAAGAGCTATCTTTTGAACAAATTTACAATGCCGACAAATTGGGACTTTTGTGGAAATGTCTTCCCACTCGCGCTTTAGCATTTGAAAATGAAAGTAAAGTGGTGGGTCATAAAAGCAGCAAGAAAAGGATCGCTATCATCTCTTGCAGTAACGCTACCGGTGGACATAAACTTAGACTTGTTGTCATTGGAAAGTAAAAAAAACAGAGTCTTTCAAAGGCACAAGGATAGAAAATTTGCCATTTGATTACTTTAACCAAAAAAAAAGGTGGATGAACCAAAACATTTTTCAAGAACGGTTCGAATACATCTTTGTTCTTTAAATGCGTAAACATCTAAAACCTGCCTGAAAAAGCTGTGCTATTGATCGACAACACACATTCTCACTCAGCAGCAAGCATGCTAAAGTCTTTTGATGGACAAATTTTTGCAAAGTTTCTCGCCCCAAACGTTACTGCACTAATCTAACCCATGGACCAAGGAGTCATTGCAACAATGAAGAGAACATACGGAAACAAGCTGCTAATGACTAACAAAGGTTATGATCTGAAAGAGTTTTGGAAACACTGCACAATCTTGGACAGCATCTACAATATTGCATCTGCATGGGACTCGATGAAACCGTCAACCCTCATAAAATCATTGAGAAAACTCATGCCTAATGTTGAAGCAAACAACAACCTAACCCCTTTGAGCTGTGAAGAAGAGAATGAAGATGTAGACATGCCCACGGCAACTCTTGCCGATATGGTGAAAAGAGTTCCGGGTGGTGAGAACGTCGATGCTGAAAACATTAACGAGTGGTTGGAGTGTGATGTCAACGAACCTGGCTTCGAATGCTTGCATTCAGCTTTTCAATTTTAATCTATCAGTATTTCTTCTAGTTGTAATTTTGTTAGTTTCTCGGCCAAGAATGAAGGACAGCGAAGTGAAGAAGAGCCCACTGTGCAGATGTAGAAGATTCACGAAGCGGCTTTGCAACAAGTCGCTGGATTGCTGAGCTATTTGGAACAAGATGGCGTGGAGTTGGCCGAGAAACTTATGCTACAAAAAATGCAATCTCGGATCAAGAGAAAATGCTTCCAAAGCAAGAAGCAAACACAAATGACTGATTTCTTCAAAAAGGTGTAGTTTTACTGTTATGCTTTTGTAATTACATAATACTTTACAGTATTAGAACAGTAAATATGTATTAATACATTATGAGCGGGGCAGGTATTTGTACCCGTTGCGAAGATTGCCACTTATAAGCGAGGCAGGTATTTGTACCCGTTGCGAGGATTGCCACTTAAAAGTGGGACAGGTATTAGTACCCGTTGCGAGGATTGCCACTTATAAGCGGGACAGGTATTAGTACCCGTTGCGAGAATTGCCACTTATAAGCGGAACAGGTGTTAGTACCCGTTTAAAATAAGTAATTTTAAGTGACACAAGGGGAAAATAATGTTTTATCAAATATATGACTGGGCTCACCAGCGGCCGAGCGGTAAAGTCGCTGAACACTGGTAGTTCGGTCTGAGGTTCGAATCCTGCGAACGGGCTGGCTGCATGGGCGTTTTCGTGGTTTTTCCCATGTGTAACGTGTATACGAGCTAGTTTCCCGTAGAAAGTCCTCCACGAAGGCATCCCTCCCCTTAGGCAGATAGATAGCCCTAGTGTGCTTTGCCATAATTAAATACACACACAAATATATGACTACGTCTCAAAGAACGTAAAGTGAGATTGAAAAAATTCCGTCTATCTATATTTTAACCAATAATATTCTTCGCAGCCGTGTGTTTCCACAAATTCGTTTTTGCGATGTATGTTTATAGTCTATTAGTGGAGCAGCTTGTAAAAAGAGATACATGTAACATCGATATTGTGTAGGCAGTTGATACCACTTTCAATTCAAAGACAATGGATTCTAATAGTGATAGTGATGTATATGCAGATGACTTGTCGCAGATTTCAAGTGACGCGGAATTTCCTGATTTAGACAGTGAAAGTGACGAGGAATTATTTCGACCTAGAAGAAATCGAGTTTTGCCAATACCATCATCTAGCGACTCCAAAGACAGTGATGACGAAATCAACAACATATGTCAAAGTCAGCAACAACAATGGTCAACAACTGATAATGTACCAATTATTGAACAATTCCTCAGACAAAGTGGAGTTTTTGTAATGCCAGATAATTCAGAAAGTGTAATAGATGTGGTTAAGCTATTTATTGGAGATGACTTATTTGAATATATGGCAATGGAAACCAATCGGTATCGCGAACAAAACCCAGATGCATTTCGAGACAGAGCAAAATCTGTGAAGTGGAAGGATGTGAATATGGTAGATTTAAAAAAAATGCTCGGACTACTTCTCCTAATGGGACGAGTTCGTAAATATACAAGAGACGAATATTGGTCTACAGATAAAACTATCCAAACTCCAATTTTCGCGGAAGTAATGAGCAGGGATAGATTTAGACAGATATAGTATGCGTGGCATTTCTCTAATAATGATGATGACAGATTGCCTGAAAAAAATCCGACCGATTATATCTTACTTCTTACCTAAATTTCAAGATGTTTATAAACCAGAGAGAGAGTTATCACTGGATGAGAGCATCATGCTATGGAGGGGCCGTTTGTCATTTAAAGTTTATAATGCATCAAAAATTATAAAGTATGGTTTACTTATAAGAATGGTGTGAAGCTAAAACGGGATACATTTGTAATTTTCGCATGTACTGTGGTGAAGGAAGTCGTTTGCAAGAAACGATTTTAAATCTGCTTGAACCCTATTCCAACTTATGGCATCACATATACATGGACAATTATTACAATAGTGTTGCCGCTTGTGAATTGCTTTTACAGAATAGTTTTTGGACTTGCGGCACTATTCGGGTAAACAGAGGCCTTCCCAGTTGTTTGAAAAATCCTAAACTAGCAAGGGGGTGATCTATATTTTGTCGCCGCCAGAATATTTTATTACAATGTTGGCAATCAAAAAGAACAGTCCGAATAATTTCAACTATACATTCAGCTGACATTGCGGAAAGCCATAATATTGACTGGGCAACAAAACAAAGAATTTGGAAGCCAATATGCGTAACTGATTATGATAAGTACATGAAAGGTGTTGATCGCGCTGACCAATACTTATCGTATTACTCGTTTGTGCATCCTACAAAAAATGGACGAAACAAGCTGTAATGTTTTTTATCAATTGTGTGTTATTTAATGCGTTTAGTTTTTAAAGCATTCAATCCACATTAGAAAAAAAGTATAAGATGTTTTTATGTGATGTTGCAAAGGAATGGATTAGCGAAGCTCTTCCTAGCAATACAGATGATCCTGTACAAGGTACATCCGCTACGTCCAGCAGAAGTGATCCTCCAGGGATCCCAAACGGCATAAATTGGTTAAAATTACCACTGGTGGAACAAAATTGAAACGTCAAACACAGTGTCGCGTATGTGCCGCACATAAAAAAAAAAAGTTTAACTTGTTATATGTGTGAATTTTGTAAAGTTTCGCTGCATCGGGGAGATTGTTTCTTCAAATTTCACACTCAAGAAAAATATTAGGAACTAGCCTTGACTACACCAAACTTTATAAACTAGTATATTGTCCTGTATATATCCTATAAAATAAACCGCTAACGGCGATATAGTATATATATATATATTGTATATATATTTGTAACTATTTAAGGATTTAAATAAACTGTATATTTGCTTGCATACTTTTTTTACATATGGGAGAAAGTGCAGAATCGCCCACTGCTTGGCGCGTTTTTAAGAATTGCACGTACTCGGTATCCATGTACACATCGACCTATTTTCACTTAAAACAGTCAGAGAATTGCACAAACTAGGCATTGCACACTTTCTTGACTTTATCCATGTACACATCGACCAATTTTCACTTAAAAAGACATAGAAAATTGACAAAAATCCAGTTCTTCTTACTCTTGTAAAAAGCGTCAAACAAATGCCAAACAAATAAGTGGGCGATTCTGCACTTTAGCCTATGTATATATTATCAGGCTATTTTATTTTGCTCCCCTTGAATTAGGAACAACGGCCTATAATTCTAATGGCTATAATATAATTTTGTTCATAAGAAATTCGACAGTAATATTGTATTTTTATAAAACAAGCGAGTCCTGCATAATCTCAGGAATTCTGAAATATACTTATCAAATATAAAAATATAAATTAATGTATATAAAATATAGTTCCAGATAAGACCCATTACCAAATTTTGCAAAAATCTAACCATTACTTTTACGTCTATCAAGTTTATTTTCACACGCATATATTTTGCTTAGCTGAGAAATTAGCCCCCTACGCAGCACTGTCCGATATCATGAGCTTCGGACCGCTCATAATGTGTTAATTTTTCTGTGTATCCTTGACGCCTCTCGTAAGTATACAAAGCACTTTTCTGTTTTCATTAACAAAATGCATTTTAGGTTAGTTTTGAGTGATATACTAAAATATTAAGCATTAGTTAAAAATTTTCTGCTTTTTTTTTTTTTTTTTTTTTTTTTTTTTTTTTTTTTTATTGTATATAAAACGATTTTTCAAAGTGGAAATGACTGTTTTTTCTTTTGCTTTACCCGTTTTTAGCTTTTTTTCGGATTAACCGCGATTTTTGTTATCTGCGGCGGCCGCGCCACCCAATTCCGCGGATAATCAGGACTGTACTGTACTTACTTTCTGGATGCCCTACATATATACACACAGTACAAAATCTATGTTCCAGACTCATCAGGACTTTGGTGATTCCATATAGTAAATCATCAGTTACATCTAGTCTGACAGCATGTAGAAATTGTAAAATTAGTAATATGAATTAGTGGTTTATGAAATAACAAAGCATTTATGACCTCAAAGGAATTAAAATTTTCAAAAAAAGAAGCTCAATATTTGTTTTTTATATTAAGCATTTCTTTCAGTGTGAATTTTTTAAATTTACATCACTGTTGTGTGAATACTTTCTCTTTAATTCTATAGATGACATAATTTCTTGTTCTAAGTTCCATTGTTCAAGGTCCTGTAATTGCCACATTGAGAATTTCCACAAAATTGTCAGTCGAAATTTTTCATTCTTGAACAACATCTCTCTGACTTTCTCCTCTTTTTCACTATTGGTAGCGATATTTTCTGTATTTAAAACATACTACAGATTTTGCCATTTATTAGTTGTTTGACATTTGAAGCATTGTCATCGCAATGAAAATCTCCGTGAATGCAACGAAACAAATTATAATAAAAATATTGATTACTGTATTTTTTTAGGAAAGGAGATCTTGCTGCAGAATCATAGAATTCATGTTCTACGAGCACTAGCAGACTTCAGTGATTGGCACTTAGTCAGTTCATAATATTATTTTCATAACTAAAATATAAAAAATATTTCTAGTTAAATAAATTTTTTGTACGATTCTAAAGGAATGAAATTTCACAAGAATAGCAATTATATATTTTTAGAATTTGGAAACTGGTAAATAACTAGCACAAAATTTTTGTTGCCATATCAATTATAATAAAATTATAAATTAAAGAATATTAATCACACAACAATATCATTGAATGGCATTTAAGGGGAAGAGAATCAATTTCGAATTATTTTAATTTATTTGTTAATCAATGCTCTAGGCAAGTTAAAAGTGGTGTCAGATACCCTAGATTTTGAAATTAAATATCTTGATGAATTTTTGGCTTATAAGAGTCGAACTTTTTTTATTTTTATTTTCATAATGAGTGTAAAAAACTTCCCTAAATGTATAGGGATAACGCAAAAAGCTAGATTTTTGTAATTTTTATAAAATTCACAATTTTAATTTTAAAATGCCCAAATATTAATATTTGCATCATTTAAACGTTTTAGTAAATTGGAAGTATATGTATGTGACCAGCTTTTTTAAAACTAAAAGCCTGTGAGGGATTTTTTTATATATGTATCAGAAGCCTTTTTTTTTCATTTTTAATATTTGAAAAAATAATTGTAAAATTTGAATTGCAGGCCTTTGCCAGAAATCAAGTGGAGCAAAAGAGGAAGTGAAATGTATTCAAGTAGATACACATATACCAACTATGGCAAAACTTTGCGGATAAGAAGTGTTGAGTTTGATGATGCTGGGACTTATGAATGTACAGCAAGTAATGGTGTTGGTACCCCAATTACACATGCTATGACTGTGACAGTTCATGGTATGGGGTATATTTTAATAATTTATTACTATTTTTTATCTCATGTTCCATATCATTTACTTTTCTCCCTCTCTCTTATAGCCATACCCTATTGGATTACATCTCCTAATAATACAAATGCTGCTGAAGGGGAATCTGTTCGATTTGTATGTGAGGCTCATGCTTACCCAGAACCTAAACTTCAGTGGCTTGTGAATGGGGAACCTTTGGAGAGTATGTTTTTTTATTAGAAATATTGTCATTCATGTAAAGAATTAAAAACAGTTTTAAGAAATAATAGGAATTTATAAATCTTAAGATGGTTTATTAAAATACACTTCAGTTTTTATTTTCTCTCATTGGAGTTGCTGTTACTATTGCATTGGTATGGTTTTTTCTAACTAATTTTTTCCTTTTTATTTAAAATAAAAGCTTTTTCATGATTTGATTGTATCTCATACATATCACTTTCTTGTTTAGTCCTCATTTTGTTGAAGAATTTATTTTGGAATTTAAATTTCTTATTTCATTCTGCATATTCTTCATATCTGATTCCATGGCCTTTTCTTTTGTTTTGATATCTTTTAGTTCTTGAACATTAAGGAGTATTTCTTTCATCTTATTGAAGATATCCTTTTGGATATTGAGATTTCTATCATTTTCTTTGTGCGGCAAATATCCAGTTCCTTAACAGAGTGATGAGTGAATTTGTCTAAACAACAAATGTTTGTTTAGACAAATTTTAGTTGTCATTTTCTGGTTACACTGCTTTATTTCTTCCAGTCCACATTGCTTATCAAGTTGTTTCTCAAATTGTTTCAGTTTATTTTCTTTGATTTGCTTCTGCCAAAGCAAATAACTTGGAAGTATTTCTGATAGTTAATAAGTCAGCTTTTAAATCTTCTTCATTAGCTAGCATTTCTGTATTTACATTACATAATTTAGTGAACTAAACATCTTTTTCTCATAGTTGGCTGAATCTTCCTCCTCTAAAGCCAATGGTCTCAACTCTTTTATGATATTGTCTAAGCTGATTTTCTCATCTTAATGATATATTTGGATAACTTTTGAAATTCTTTCCTGTAATGAATTTGATTTATGCCTTTTTCCCAGTTGCTGATCAAGCTATTTCTTGCATTATAAGAATTTCAGAACTATTGTATGCTATCAAGTTCTTGTTGAACAATAAACACATCTGTATTTATTTCATGAAGATAATTTTTATTTCAAGAGTTTCTTTAGTCAGTCTTTCAATCAGTAAACTAAGTTCACTTATTGTGCTGTGATCTTCGCGTATATATTTTAAAAGTACCATGTTATCCTTTTTCATTTGTGCAGAATTTTGAAGGTATTGCAACAAAGCCTTTTTATCTGTCTGTACAGCTAATTTGAATTTTAAAATTTTCTCTGTTTGTTCAGCAGTAACTGCCTTCCTGTTTTTCCCCTTTCGTGCAAAGAACTGATTCCCCTTTCATTGCTCACATTTTTTGTTTGAGATGGCTCCATTCTCTTCCTAGTAATTTCTGAATATGTATTTCCATTTACTGCTCATGATCTTTTAATTTATATAATTTCTGTTTACAACTGTGTGTTTGACATACGTCACTTAAATGCTCTTATGTGTTTTTGTTTTTACAGTAAGACCCCGCTTAACGCTGTTTCGTTTAGCGCTGTTTCGGTTTAGCTCTCTTTTATTTCAACCCGGGGATTCTCCGTAATTGTGCGCAGCGCTAGGTTTCCAAATAACATATCCGAAACAGTGTAGTTGTGTTTCTTGCTTGGTGGACGCATTTTTATCATTTGAAACATTTGTTGACATTATTGTAAGTTTAAAATTTGTATAATACTATAACGATTAATACAGTGACAAATATTATGATCTTTAGTTTTTATCATGGGTGATAATAAAAAACAAGAAAAGAAAGCAACCAGAAAAAGCATTTCACTGGAAACTCAAATGCAAGTGATTAGAAGATTAGATTCTGGTGAACGTCAATCTCAAATTAGTACTGCATTGGTTTTGGCAACTTCAACAATAAGGACAATTCTTAAGAATAAAGAAAAAATACTGTCATCGGCAACTGCAACTACGTCAAGCTCTGCAACTAGAATTACCCGTTCTAGAAATAACATTATAGAGGAAATGGAAAAACGACTGTCTATATGGATTGACGACGAAATTGAACGCAATATGCCATTAAGCCAATCTATCATAATGCCTTCTTAACAAAAAGGCAGGAAAATTGGAAACCCAGAATAGACTGAATGATCTGACTGAGAATTTTATTTGTTTTTAAAAGTATATGCGTTTATATTGTTTTTATTTTTGTAAGAAATAAATGTTTGATTTTATTTTTATTAAAAAAAATTATTAAATTTAATGCCTAACCATTTTTTATCCGTCTTCCCCTAACCCCATTATTTACATGTTAAGATAGCCTCGCTTAGCACTGTTTCGCATTACGCTCTACTTCGATGGAACGTATCCCCCGCGTTAAGCGGGTCTTACTGTACTTATGTTATTCTCAAGTATTGCATTCAGCCTTTCAGTTTTAATCTTTCAGTGTTTCTTCTAGTTGTAATTTTGTTAGTTTCTCGGTAAGATGAGTAATTTGTAAAGTATCTTATTTCCCATAGGATAGACATACGAATTTCTTCAGCATGGAGTTTGTGACTATTCAGATATATGTTTTGTATACCTTCTGTTCGACCTATGACAACTGAACCTTGTTTGTATTCATTTGCTACTAATGCTGAAAGTAGTGTTTGAAATTCACCAGTCATTAATTTTCCTGCCATAGTAATTAAAATTAAGATCAGTAGCTATTTCTTGGACCAAGGCCTAAGGCATTTTATTATGGAGTACCTTTGCAGATAAATGCAATTACCTCCACATCATTTTAATAGAAAATGAATTGAATAAGAGTGAGCATTTGCTACAGAAAATGAAAGAAAAGCCGATGGGCTTAAGAGATCCTATTGATGGATGAAGCTGATAACCATAATAGGAAGGGCGATAACCCCCCTGCCACTGTGACATGCATAGTAGTCCAAAGGAGAAAGAATTAACAACCGGGTACGCGACTGGTGTGAATGGTTGCTATCCATTCCTTGGTGATTGATTAGGTGTTGAAATTCATGCTCCTGTAAACAAATTTCATGATTAACTCGTACAAAATAAGGAATTGATTTTACTAGGGCATTGAAATTGAAATTACTCAATACTAGTGAGATAATCTTTATAAAGGTCTATGTACGATCTGCTGAATAATGTTTCAGAGTTTCCATTTCAATTGATTTATAACATATTTTCTTGAAGTTATCTGTTGAGATGTAGGATCTTTGAGAAGCAGAATCTATTATTATGCATATTTTTCAGCTTCTTATTCCTCCCAAAAAACATAACAAAAATCTGCATTGAGACTTTAAGTGACAATTACATGTTGGCTAGAGTTTCAATGTATTGTGAAGTATCTTCATTAAATTTCATCTTGGACAGATCTGGAGATTGTTTTTCAGAAGCCGTGCATTACATTGTATGATGTGGCTTACCGCAAATCAAACTGTTGCTTTTATTGTGTACATATGCTAAAATTATGGCTTTATTTTAGACAATGGAAATATACGCCTTTTTCATTAAATTGTTTTCTTTCATTGTAAGGTAAGTACATGGCATTTTTACACTCAGCACTAAAATGAAGTGGCTTATCATAAAAAAACATAATGGTAAACCTTGCAGTTTGATTTTGTTTTTAAACAGAACTAAATAATTCCATTACCTGTGGGAGTATATTTTGGCATATCATAGGGGAATTTTCTCCTGAAGGCCTGTTTATTCTGTGTTTAAAAACCAAATCTACTAGTCAAATTGGTTTTCTTTTCCTTTAATTTTCTTATGTATTTCATTAATGCTTCTGATTTATCAAGTATCTTGATGTGAGTCAAGTATCAAGGTGTGAGAATTATGAAATTTAAATGCCTTTCCCATAGCATAATAGAGTGATAGGCAAACTTAATTCAACGAGGGGTATAGTATAGAAGTATACTTATGGCATGGTATTCCTAACATTTGCAATGGTCTAAGTTGGGTTATTGCATGATCATATAATTTCACAAGTGGAATCTTTCGACCCTGTTGTAAAGCACTTTTTAAAACCAGATTCAATTGTTCTATCATGTACCTTTACCACAATATCCTTTTGACCAAAATTGTAAATGTAAACATTCGATGATTTGTTCATAATTTTCATCGGTCAGGGGACAAGACTCAAATGCATCTCTTGCTTGTGAATCTTCATGCAGTGGCTGTAAGAGAGACTAAAATTGATCTTCTCTTGAAAGATCTGGGTCCTCATGTATTTTTAAAAAATAAATCCCAAAATGAGTGCCAGTACTTCAGGTTCCCATAAAATAGTAACAGCATGATAACAGCTATAAATAGTAACAGCTATGTAAAAATTTTAATTGGTGTTTTGTTTTCTTTTTTTACTACTTGTTTCATTTTTAATCCACACATTCTAGTTGTGTTTTAAATAAGCGAATACACAATTATAGTGATCTTGATGCTTTATTTTATCATTTAGATATTTTTGAGTATCCTTTCCAAGCTTGGAAAGTATTTCCCTATCTAATGGAATTTTATTTCTTCATTAAGTGAGCTAAAAAAAACCACTAAAAGAATCTCCAGTTGTCAATTTTTGATTCTGAGAAATCTTTGTCTTTACGGCTAATTTTGTAAATGAGCTTCCGTAGGCTCCCATTAATTTAATAGTTGTTTTCTTTTTCATCAATAAATAAGTTACTTACACTGTTTATTTATGAATAGGAAATTTTGCTGAAGTATGATTCAAAGTTGAAACCATTCAAGTGAAATATTTTATGCAACAATGTTACAAATACATATTTACAATATTAGCCTTTGAATGTATTTATTACTTTAAAAAATTCAAAACAAAGTTAATAAATTCAAAACAAAATTAATAAAATGATTGAATTTCTCAATAATTATATGTTCTTCAGTAATAATTTCTAATATGTGTGTGCATATTGTTCAGTTAAGCATTGAAGCATCAGCAATTTTCCTACTCTTGCAACTCAAAATTAAACAAATTTAAATTTATGTACTGTATCTAAGTACTGTATGTACTGTATGTACTTAGATCTATGTACTGTATGTACTATCTCTGATCAGGCATGATAAAAATGTTAGATCTATCAATATGGTAGCTCAGTAA